TTAAAAAAAATTTTTTTAAGCTCAGTCTTTATTTAATTAATTTATTTAGGCAGAGCTGGGGATTGAACTCAGACCCTTGCACTTGCCAGAGAAGCACTTACTCCACTGAGCCATCTCCCTGGCCCCCTGTTGTACATTTTGTATCTTACTTACTCTTTCAGCTTTTCACACTAGGAAGTCAATATGATGTTTACTTTTTTTTTTGGAACCGGGGATTGAGCTCACACCCTTGCGCTTGCCAGGGAAGCACTTATTTCACTGAGCCATCTTCCTGGCCCCCTGAAGTAGTTCTTTCTTTTTTTTTTTTAATTTAATTTTTGGTGGTACCAGGGATTGAACTCAGGACCTTGTGCTTGCCAGGCAAGCATCTATTCTATTGAGCCATCTCCCTGGCCCATGAGTGTGGTCTTGAGTTGCATCCATTTACCTATAAAAGTCTTCAATTTGTCCTTCTTTATGGCTGAGAGTACTTCATTGTATAAAAAGAGCCTATCTTTTTAATCAGTTCTTTTGCTGATGGGCATTTGGGTTGTTTCCAAGATTTAACTGTTACAAATTGTGTCGCTATAAACATGGGCGTACATATGTCACTGTGGTATGAAGTTTTTAATTTTTCTGGAAAGATACCCAGCAGGGGAGTAGCTGGGTCAAATGGCACTTTCAAGCTAGGTTTTTGAAGACTCTCCGTACTGATTGGCACAGTGGTTGCACCACAAACAGTGGAGAAGGGTTCTCTCTTTTTTTTTTTTTGCGGAGCTAGGGATTGAACTCATGCCCTTGCACTTGCCAGGGAAGCACTTATTCCACTAAGCCATTTCCTCGGCCCCAGGTTCTCTTTTTTTTTTTTTTTTTTCCAAAGTTTTATTGATAAACAGATAGCAATGAGACAGTTTCAAATCAAATCGGCAGTACAGTTTCAACAAATATTACACTGCATATATTCTTCTTAGTGGTTAATTGCTGTACAAGATGTGGACTTGTGATCCTATTTACAAACACCATTAGAACAAACCATTCTATTCATTAAGAGAATGCAACTATATCTTTTTTTTTTTTAAGAGTTCTTTCTCGAGTTTTTTTGTATGTTTTCACTAGTAATCTTTTGTCTAAGGAACAACTGACAATCATTTTTTTTCTCCACTTTGTGGGTTGTCTCTTCACTCTGTTGGTGATTTCTCTTGCTATGCAAAAGCTGTAAAAAGACAAGATGTCAGTTGTTGATTCTTTGTGATAGTTCCTGTGACATCAGAGTTTTACTCATGAAGTCTTTGCCTATGCCACTGGCTTCAAGAGTTTTAATCTTTGGCATGTGTAGAGCCAATTTTTCTAGCACCATTTATCAAAGAGGCTATCTTTTTTCCAGTGAGTATGGTGGGCACCTTTGTCAAAGATATAACTGAGTATGTCTGGAGTTGTTTCTGCATCTTCTAATTTGTTCCATTGATCTTAGGTCTATTATTTGCCAATATGATGCTATTTTTAATTGCAGTAGTTTTATAATATAATTTCCAGTCAGGGGTTGTGATGCCCCCTGCCTTTGTTGTCCAGAATTGTCCTTGCTATTCTAGTTCTTGGGCTCTCCTCTCTCTCTCTCTCTCTCTCTCTCTCTCTCTCTCTCTCTCTCTCTCTCTCTCCGTCCCTGTCCTTGTCCCTGTTGGTCTCTCTCTGTCTCTCTCTCTCTGTCGGTCTGTCTGTCAGTCAGTTGGACTGTCTGTCTTTTTGAGACAGGGTCTTGCTAGGTAATTTGAGACTGACCTTGAGCTTACTTTACAGTCGAGGCTGGTTTTAAACTTGAAATAGCCATCCTGCCTCAGTCTCCTGAGTGCTGAGATTACAGGTATGCTTCACCATGTCTGGTCTCTAGGGCTCTTCTAAGTCTAAATGAATTTTAAGATTGTGTTCTTGGGCTGGGGATATAGCTTGGCAGTCTAAGCGCCTGCCTGGCAAGCACAAGGTGCCAAGTTTAATTAGTGGTACTGCATGCTGTGTGGGCCCTGGAACCAGGTGTGGTGACACATACCGTAATTCCAGTGCAGGGAAGGGTGAGGCAGGAGGATTACTATGAGTCTGAACTGTTTAGCAAGACCCTGTATCAACAGCCACAAAAAAGTGAAGATTGTGTCCTCTAATTCTGTGAGATATGCTGTTGCAATTTTGATTGAAATTGCAGGGGGCCAGGGAGATAGCTCAGTGGAATAAGTGCTTGCCTGGCAAGTTCAAGGTCCTGAGTTCAATCCCTGGTACCACTGGGGGAAAAAAAAGGAAAAAGAAATTGGTTTAAAAAAAGAAAAAGAAATTGCATTGTTTGTGTACAGTTTGGAAGTATTGATTCTTTCTACCCAAGACAAGATATATCTTTCCATTTTCTGATAACCTCTTTAAT